TAGCACCCAACTCTATCTCTCCTTTTCATCTGACTCCAAGGAAGCTGTCTCTGTGCTGAACCAGTGTCTGCTGTCAGTAATAGACTGGATGAAGGCAAACAAATTGAAGCTTAATCCAGACAAGACAGAGATGCTCCTGTTCAGTCATAAGGCAGATCAGGGAATTTGGGCTTTGCCTGAGCTGGATGGGGTTACACTTCCCCTGAAATCACAGGCTCACAGCATGGATATGGTCCTGGACTCTACTCTGAGCCTGGATGCCCAGGTTTCAGCAGTGGTCAGGAGTGCGTTTACACAGTTAAAACTAGTGTGCCAGCTGCGCCCATTCCTTGAGACATCACATCTGGTTATGGTGACACATGCCTTGATGGACTACTATGATGCACTCCATGTGGGGCTGTCTTTGGAAACTGCTTGGAAACCTCAGCGGATTCAAAATGCCACAGCCAGAATGCTGACAGGAGCCAGTCATAGGGAGCATATAACTCCTGTATGGAAACAGCTTCACAGGCTACCAGTTTGTTTCTGAGCACAATTCAAAGTGCTGGTCATGACTTATAAAGCCCTACACTATTTAGGTCCATACTATTTGAGAAACTGTATCTCCCCATACGAACCAACTAGAGCCCTAAGATCCTCAAAAGAAGGCTTTCTCTCAGTCCTGCCACCATCCCAGGCTCGCTTGGTGAGGACACAAGAGAGAGTCTTCTCAGTGGCTGCTCCCACCCTGTGGAACTCCCTTCCATGGGAAGCAAGACTGGCCCCCTCCCTGCTGGTCTTTCGCCAGGAAGCAAAAACATTTTTATTCAACAAGTTTATTGTTCCAAACTATACCAGTCTTGAACAGTGACACATCCTTAAAAGAATGGCAAGAAGATTTAAGAAATTTTATTTGGAATAATAAGAAGGCAAGAGTAAACTGGAAGACTATGATGAGACAGAAAGAAGATCTGTGGTGTGCCAGATCTGAATCTATATTACCAAGCTAATGTGTTAAACTGGTTGACAGATTGGATTACACTTGAAAACACAGAGTTACATAACTTAGAAGGATTTAAACAATAGATTTGGCTGGCATGCATATATCTGGTATGGTAAAGCCAAGGCCCACAGTGAATTTTGACATCACATTTTTTAAAAAAAGGTCTGGTGGGCTATAAATAAATATTATTATTATTATTATTATTAAGAACCTGGGGAAAATTAAGAAGAAAGTATATGGGAAAATTTCTCTCTGGGTCTCAACTCAAGAAGCTTCCATTGGCAGATGGAAATTGCTCAATATATGGTTGACATATAAAAATATCCTTTATAAATCTGAAAATAACAAATATGAATTAAGATCTATAGAAGACTTGATGCAATTAGACCCAAAGATGCATTGGTTCCTATATACTCAACTAAAAGAGAGGTTTAAAATGGATGTTAAAATGGAAGAATTCAACAAAGATATGAATGAACTGGATAAGATTTTCTTCAGTAATAAATCTAAAAGAACAGCAAGAATATATAAAGTCCTACAAAATTATGAACAAGAGAAGGAAGTCATATCAGATGTCATGATCAAGTGGGCATCGGATTGTGGACACATCCTGGACCTAGACAGCTAGAAGTGTGCTAGAAATAAAACAAGAAAATTTACCAAATCTCAAAATTTAAGAAATAATTATTGGAAGATGGAACAGAGATGGTACTCACCACCAAATAAAATTGCACAGATTTATAAGAAAGATTTGAATTCATGTTGGAAGTGCCAATCAGCTAGGGGTCCTGGTTCCATGTTTAGTGGCATTGTCCAAAGTTAAAAATTTATTGGAAACAGATACATACATTGATCAAAAAGATACTACAGATAAAATATGAAATGAGACCGGAAATATACCTTTTAAATATGTTGAACAAAATTCCATTACAAATTGAAATATTGGCAGATTTTGCTATATATGATAATAGTGGCTAGAATGACAATAGCCCAATACTGGAAATGACAAGAAATGCCAGAGATAGATGACTGGTTATTAAAACTATTGGAAATAATGGAAATGGACAAATTAATCTGTCACTTAAACCACAAAGACATAAATGAAATTGAGAAAGAATGGCTCCCAGTTATAGATTATTGTAAGGCAAGATGGAAATAGGATGTAGTAACACCAAAGATTTAGCTTAACAGTTTGGATAATAAAAACAGATAAAAATGATAATAATATAAATTTTTGTATATTCTCTAGGATGACTGTTCTCTGGAGCAGCAGAAAACAAGCTAGCGCCCTCCTCAATATGACGGTCCTTCAAATATTTAAAGAGGGCTTTCTTATGACCTCTTAACCGTCTTTTTTCCAGGCTAAACATATCCAGTTCCCTAAGTCGTTCCTGATAGGGCATGGTTTCCAGACCCTTCACCATTTTAGTCGCCCTTCTCTGGACACGCTGCAGTTTTTCAACATCCTTTTTGAATTATGGTGCCCAGAACTTGAGGAGTCCTGCATTCCCAAGAAGTATGTTGCTGCAATCAGACAGTCCTCCTAAGCATGAGGACTCTGGCACAGTGGAAACTGGTAGCTTCGATGTCAGTAGGGTGTTGAATCCACTCCAACTTTTAGTTCAGACTTGAAAGAAGCTATCCAAGGACTTCTTCAGAGTTTGAAACCTGGAGCAGATTGATTATCACCAGCTTCCACTAGCTGGTGAGGGGAGATGTTTGTGTACATGCTCATGAATGTGTGTTGTCCAGCACTTGTCACCTAGTATCATATTCTGCTGTTTGTTGTTAACCATCCTCGAGTTGATCCTGACTCATGGCAACCCTGTGGATGAAACATCTCCCAAGACTCCCTGTCTTCCACTGTGCTGCTTAGTCCCTGCAAATTCATGCCTGTGAGCTCCTTAATAAAGTTAAATCCATCTAGCATGCAGTTTTCCTCTCTTTCTACATCCTTTCACCTTTCCTAACATTATGGTCTTTTCCAATGACTCATTCCTTCTCATGACGTGACCAAAATATGACAGCCTCAACTTGATCATCTTGGTTTGCAGGAAGATTTAAGGCTTGCTCTGTTCTAGGACTCATTCATTTGTCTTTTTGGCTGTCCATGGTATCCTCAGTGCTCTTCTCCAGCAACACATTTCAGATGAACTGATTTTCCTCCTATCCACTATCCTCACTGTCCAGCACCATACATGGTAATAGGGAAAACAATGGCTTGTATAATTCTAATTTTCATGCTGAGTTGTATATCTTTACATTTTAGGATCTTTTCTAATTCTTTCATAGCTGCCCTTCCCATTCCCAGTCTTGTTCTGATCTCTTGGCTGCAAATGTGTTTGTTGTTTTTACAGTCTCAATGAATCAAATTGTACACTGAAGGAACTCTTTTACTATTTGAATTTCTTCACTGTCTAGTTTGAATCTGTTTAGATCTTCTGTGATCATTTTTTTCTTTATGTTGAGCAGTAAGCCTGTCTTTGTACTTTCTTTTTTTATTGTTCTTAGCAGTTGTTCTAGGTCTGCAATATTTTCTGCTAGTAGTATGGTGCTGTCTACATATCTTAGATTATTGATATTCCTTCTTCCTATCTTCATGCCTCCTTCTTCTGTGTAAAAGCCTGCTTTTCATATGATATTTTCTGCATACAAGTTGAACACATAGGGTGAAAGGGTGCAGTGTCAGGTGTGGACTCTCATCGTAAAAATGGCTGCCTACTCCTTTTTTTAAGATCCCCAGGTTGGCCTATGAATGTTAGACAACAAAACAAACAAGTCTAAAGGAAAGAGAGAATGATGATCTCTCCAGCCACATAGACCCAGGGAAGCTCAAAAGATTTTGTCTGGTCTGCATTTTAACTGAATTAACATTACTTGCACTTTCAGACTAATGCACAGATTGCAATGTAGCTGTGTTTTCATTTTTGCACTTCCTTGAATTTTGCAATAGATTTCTCAGTTCAGAGCACCAAAATGTGTAGAGAAATGCATATTTTAGGACAGAATGCATATGAAATGCCATGCATTTTTAAAACAAATTCACAGTTTGATGGGGAAAGAGACCAGAATGGACTCATAAATAATTATTTGCAAAACTGAGATGGGATGAAAATAGACTGAGCCATTCATCTCTACCAAAACACCCATGCTAATGAAAAGAAATAGTTGCCAGTGATTCTGCACGGCTGTTTGTTTCCCCACAAAGTTGAAGGCAACACAAAAGAGTCATCTTAGTGCATGGTACAAATTAGAGTTGAACCAAAAAGTGCTGCTTTGAGTTAGTGTTATATTTCTTCTCCTTGGATTATTTTTGTTTGTATAGTGGTACAGGGATTGTTTTACTGAGGTAGTTTTGTACATTTTTGCCATATGGATTAAAAATGAAATGATTATTGATATGTTCCAGTTATGTTTTCTAAATTGTTGCTATTGCTGGTTTTGATGAGAAAGAGAGTATATCCAGACACATACGTGCAAACCTGGAGCTCTGAATCTGAATCATAAGTAGTTCTCAAGGCCAAGCAGGTGGTGCACACTTGCCCAGGATCCAGAGCTTAGAGGCTCTGTTTTCCTTAGACATATTGAAAATAACAAAGGTGTAATGCAGTTACATTTCAAACATAAGTAACAAGTAAAAGAAACAAGGGAGAGCAAAGTTACTATATTAGCATAGTGAGTTGGTATACAGACTGAGTGAGTTGGTGTACCTATGGCATAACATCTGTATTCAGTTTGCAGTTGTGTAAGTGTAATTTCTCAAGTTGCACATGCAATTGGATATTCTGGAGTGGTGCACCACTATTAATACCTTCAGTGTACAATTTGATTAATTGGGACTGTCAGAAACAACAAGCACATTTGCAGATATGCAATTGGTTGCAAAAGATTGGTATTCATCTGAAGAATGGTGCAGAACAACCACCATGTAACTATGCAAGTGTAAAGTCACACTATGCAAGCATGATATAGGACATATCATGATATAATAGATATAATATATATGTAATATATGTAAAACTGCGGCATAGTGGTTTTTGTGGTAGACTACGACTCTGGAGAACAGGGTTCAATTCCCCACTTGGTCATGAGACCCACCAGGTAACCATGAGCAAGTCACATGTTCTCAGCCTCAGAAGACAGCAAAGGCAAACCCCCTCTGAATAAATTTGCCAAGAAAACCCCATGATCGGTTGGCCTTAGGATCACCATAAATCAGAAAAGACTTGAAGGTACACAACAACATACTATATAAACAATGCCAATTGTTATTGTTGCTGTGTATCTTCAAGTCATTTCCAACTTAAGGCAACCCTAAGGCAAATGTATATTTGTTCAGAGGAGGTTTGCCTTTGACTTCCCCTGAGACTGAGAGAGTGTGACAATGGATTTCCAGGGCAGAGTGGAGATTTGAACCCTGGACATCCAGTTTCCTAGTCCAACCCTCGACCACTACACCACACTGGCTCCAGTACTATATAATATAAAATAGGATATAAGCATGATAACGGCCACAGTTTCTAGGTACTTTCAAACATAAGCTTTTAGGAGCATTTTTGGAAGCATTTCAGCAGGAGTGTTCATATTTTATGTTCTACTCAGATAGATCCTAGCTCACTCACTCTCGAAAGCAATGGAAAATAGAGAAAATAAAGGTGTAGTAGAAAAAGTACTGTAATTATTTACATTGGAAAAATGTTATTCTCACCATACCAAATATCAGGAACAGATTAGTTTTTAAAAATGAATTAAACAGTTTAAAAACAACTTTAGGGAGTTCTCTAAGTGATGAACCTATTTGGGAGTAGGGAAGAGTGCAGAACCTTGACTAGCTGCTTTAAACTTCAGACTAAACATTAAAGAAGATTCACTGTCCCACAAACAAGGAAACTAACAGTCCCCATTGCACTATAGCAGTGATTCCCAAACTATAGTCTTCCAGATGTTCTGGACTTCGGCTCCCAGAACCCCAGAGCATTGGCCAAGATGTCTGAGGCTTCTGGGAGCAGAAATCCAAAACACTTGGAGGACCAGAGTTTAGGAATCACTGCACTATAGCATGCTGAGAAGAAATGAGGCATAATCTAGTTGGGTGGGAAATGGATGGGGCCATTCTGCTTCCTTTCTCCAAGACAAACTGTCTCTGAGTTATATAGCCAAATTGTCCTCTCTTTCCATACAACTAAATTACATCTCAGCAGTGAGGGTAGGGTTGGGGAGATGTTACAGCCATCTGATCCCCCTTCCTGTTTCTACCAGGCCATCCCATGGACCTTATCACACGGGGTCTAAAGCAGTCCCATCCCCGTCGCATCCCCGTCCCATTGGGGTTCCTTTCCCCGTGTTTTCACACGACGTCACACCCATCCCCGTCCCATCCCCATCCCATCCCCATCCCATTGCGGCATCATCCGCATCATCCCCATTCTTTTGAATGCCGGTTTCTTTGGGAATTACATTTTGCTGCGACCAGAATGATACCGGAATGATGCTGCTTTCTGTATGCCGGTAAGTTCTGGATTGAAAAGGAACCGCAATGGGACGGGGATGCGACAGGGATGGGACTGCTTTAGGCCCCGTGTGATAACGTCCCATGACTTGACATCTGCTCTGGCACCATCTATTTCATCTCTCACTTGATGCCACAAGTTATCGATCCATACAGATGACGTTTTGAAGCAACTCCCCTACAGATGTGAATGAATATCAAATCCCTGGTATGAAGCCAGGGAAGCAGCTAGTGACAAAATGGACCAGGGGTGGGGGGGGGGGGGAGAGAAGGTTGCACATGGTTTTTGCAGTGTGAATAGGGAGGCATAGGAGATCAAATTCAAGGCCAAAATGGGCCTGATTTGAACTGGTCTGGTTCATAGAATGATAGAATCATAGAGTTGATAAAGTCCCCAAGGACCATCCACTCCAACCTCCTGCCATGCAGGAATACACAGTCAAAGCAACCCTGACAGATGGCCGTCCAGCCTCTGCTTAAAAACCTCCAAAGAAGGAGACTCCACCCCTCTCCAAGATAGCATACTCCACTGTCAAACAACTCT